ATAGTGATGTAGGTATGTGGGGGCGTGTTAGAACGAGCCGATTTAGGTAGGCGTGGTTGACTCTTAACTTTTATAAAGAATATCTCTTTAGATTTGAGACTTTAGTCTTTGCAACTTTACAGATCTTCTTTATGCACCAAGAGCTTGTAACACTCCAAAGAGAAAGGAAAAATTGAAATCGCATCATTTGACCCCTTTAAACCTGAAATCCTTATATTAAATTTTCCAAAACATTAATTTGATCATATCTGTATTTATGCACGTGTGTTGTTGTAGTAACACTCTGTGATGTTTGTTTCTTCTTCAGCACACTCACTATCCACGTCTGATTCCCATCATGACCAGCAACTGCACATCTAAATCAGTGGTCGTCAGACGGTGAGAACACACACTCACTCACTCACTCACTCACTCACTCACTCACACACACACACACTCACTCACTCACACACACACACACACACTCACTCACTCACACAAACTCACTCACTCACTCACTCACACACACACATATTCCACAGAAAAACATGTTTGACTTCAAAATCTTAATGTGATAACTTCAAATCAGCTCTCACTTAGTCTGGACTAATGTTTAGATTTAGGAGGTTTAACGATGAGAATGATTTCAGACTCTCTGAGGCTGTGTGTTTGTTTCTCAGAGGAATGACGCCGGCTGAAGCTGAGATGCATTTTCTGGAGAATGTAAAGAAACTGTCTATGTATGGAGTCGACCTTCATCATGCAAAGGTACACTTGAAACACACACACACACTCGCTCAATCACACACACACACACACACACACACACGTCCTCTCTGATTTGAGTCACTCTGATCTTAACAGGAAATATTTGCTCTGACTTGCAGACGCTGTTTTGAGTTTTTAGATCTTCTGCTTCAGGAGTGGCAGAAGAATTCTCTGGAGAGGTGAGAATTAAAGCAATAGTGCACCATTCACTCACCTGCATGTCGTTCCAAACCTCGGTGAAACACAAAATGAAATGTTTTGAATAATGTAGTTTGTTGCTCTTTTTCATATTTTCCATGAGCGACTGCTTTTTAAATATCACCAAATCGTTTGGTTGAACTGTTTCATTAAACTGAATCATCCAAATGAACTGGTTCTTTTGAGTAAATTTTTGTTGCACTGTTATTTTATGTATAATCATTTTCTATTTTTAACTGTTTTAAATTCATTTTAAATAAATTTTTTAATCATTTTAAAAGTTTTTAAATTCCTTGTTGTGATTATTTTTTATGATTATTTTAATTTATTTTATGTAAAGCACTTTGAATTACCATTGTGTATGAAATGTGCTATATAAATAAACTTTCCTTGCCTTTAATAAATCATTTGATCCAGTTCACAAAACTGCTACTTTTTGTGAGTAACTGTCAGTGTAGTTGTGGTTTAACTATGTTAAAGGAATAGTTCACCCAAAATGAAAATGTGCTGTAAATGTGCTCACCCTCAGGTCATCTGAGATGTAGACGAGTTTGTTTCTTCATCAGATTTGGAGAAATGTAGCACTGCATCAGTGTCTCACCAATGGATGCTCTGCAGTGAATGGATGCCGTCAGAATGAGAGTCCAAACAGCTGATAAAAACATCACAATAATCCACAAGTAATCCACACCACTGCAGTCCTGTTTGGACTCTCATTCTGACGGCACCTATTCACTGCAGAGCATCCATTGCTGAGACACTGATGCAATGCTGCATTTCTCCAAATCTGATGAAGAAACAAACTCATCCTAATCTCGGATGGCCTGAGGATGATTTTTGGGTGAACTGGTTCTTTAAATACCTTGACAGATGACAGTTTCAGAGTGGCTTCACTCTTGACTTTGAGCAGATGGAAAGCTCCATTTATGAAACCCGATGACACAGTGACAGTCTGGATCCTCAGGAGAGGATCTAGTGTCCATGTCTCATCTCAGAAAGGCTCTCACAGATGAGATCAGGTCTTCATGAGCGCATACACACTCAGAATCAGGCTGATGTCCTTGATGAACCCGCGCATGTTGGCCATGGCAATGTCACCTCGCCTTCGCCAGCGCTTCCCGTTTAATGGATGCAGAATCGGGTTTCATCTGATTGATTGATTCCAGCTCGTGTTCTGCTGTGGTGGAGTTTGGCAGAGCCGCTGAATGGACTCACAGTTTTTATCCTCTCGTCTCCTCAGGCACGTCGCTGTCCTGATGGAAACCATTAAGAAAGGAGTTCATGATGCCGACTCTGAGGCCAGATCAGTCGCTAGGAAGTGAGTGATTCTGTGTTTGTGTTTAATAATAATAATGATGATAACATGATTGTTGATATCCAAATCATCTCATCACAGAAGGGATTCGCTCAATGTAAAAAACTGAAATGCAGACCAAAATGAGCTGATTTTGGAAAAAATTCAGGCATCAAAAGATTACAATCAGCTATATTTTAGTATCATTTACTATCATAGTTTTTATTATTTTGAATGTTTTGATTTTTATGTTTTCTGTTTTAGTAATTTTGTTTGCCATTTTTATTAATAATTTTTTTAACATGTCTGTATAGATTTTATTAGGTTTTAGTTTGTCATGTTTTATTATATTTACTGTAATAGTTTTTGTTAATATTTGAATGTTTTGAATTTTTTATTTCTATGTTGTCTTTTTTTAATTGTAATTTTAGTTTAAGTTTTAGTGGTTTTGTGTGTGTATGTGTGTGTGTGTGTGTGTGTGTGTGTGTGTGTGTGTGTTTTGTCATTTTTATTATTATTATTTTTTTAAATATCTATGGATTATATTACTTTTTTTTTATATGTATATATATATATATATATATATATAAAATGTTCTGTTTATATTTTTGTTTAAATTTATTTAAATTTTAGTTTTTCTTTTTCTTTTTTAAAGTATAATCGTTTTTGTAGAGAGCCAGACAATCCAATAATGATGTGATTGTATAAAATGTAGTGCCTATTTTTATTATTTATTTTGTTGGTGTCTATGCCATTAATGTTTATTAGTTATTATTTAAATAAAAATACATTTTATATATAAATATATTTATGTATATGTAAATTTTAATGTGTAAATGTGTTTTAAAAAAATAGAAATGTTGCCTTGGCAGCCAGGTAAAATGAAATGTTTTGTTTTTTTTTAATTTCAGATAATGTTTATTTTATTCATGTAATGAAAATGTATTTCTATGGTTTTAGTTTTAGTTAACAATAACCCTGATTACAATGTAGAATAGTGACAATACTAGATAACTGTTTAGCACTAACAACTGTGTAGCCTAGAGAAAAAAAAAACTCTAATATCAGCCTAATTGCACTGATGCTCATAAAATAAATATTGGGTGATATCAGTATGGTCATTTATATGTTGTGCATCCATTTTGATAACTCGAGCATTGAGTTTATTACAGTGAGATGATGTTGACGAGCAGCTGTAATCTGAATGAATGTTTTGTAGATGTTACTGGGGTTTCCACGCCCACTTCAGTAAGGAGGCGGAGCATCTGTTTCAGGCGCTGGAACTGACCTATCAGAAAGCGCTGCAGTCTCACCTGAAGAGCTCCGACAGCATCATGTCTCTGCCGCAGTCCGACCGCTCGTCCTCCAGCTCGCAGGAGAGCCTCAAGTGAGAAACGCTCTCAATTAAGACTCGTTAGTGTGTAAATGAGCTTTCACTCTTGAATCTTTGTGTTTTCACACTCTTAATTTGTCTCGTAGTCGGCTGCTGTCTGCTAAAACACCTGTCGGGAGCAACTTGAGCAAAAGTGAGAATGTACAAGTTTTTTTGTAAAATAGCAGTATAGATGTATATGGAAGCTCGTTTTCACCACTGAATAAAAAATAAAAAAGGTAAACATTTTTTTTCTCGCAATTGCGAGTTTTTATTTTTTTTCCTCAGAATTGCGTAATATAAACTCGCAATAGCAAGAAAAAACTCATAATTGTGAGATATAACATCGTAGTTCTGAGAAATAAAGTCGCAATTCTGAGAAACTGACAACTGACTTCTTTTCTTCAGAATTGTGAGTTTATATCTCACAATTCTGAGAACATATCAGTCTTTTTTCCTCCTAAAAAAAAAATTGCAAGATACAAAGTCACATTTGCGAGAAAAAAAATCAGAATTGCGAGATGTAAACTCGCATTTACTTTTTAAAAATTTTATTCAGGTGTTTTGGGAAACGGGTTTCCATAGATGTATGTTTATGCTGATACTACAGTTTCATTAAAGCTGCAGTCCATAACTTTTTTTGGTTAAAAATGATCCGAAATCAATATTTGAGCAAGTACATAACCAGCCAGTGTTCACAACTATCTCCTTACTTTAGCCCGATTAACAACGGTTAGCTTATAATAATGTTTTCTAGTTTGAGTGGTAAGGGTAGGTTTTCGCGGGAAATTCGAGCATGGCACTGCGTCATTACGAAGTGACATAAAGAAGTTGTCCCGGCTACTAGGCGATCGCATGTGAGGATCCTGCAGCTGGCCGATCGTTTATAGCCTTTTCTCACAGCAGCCGGAATAATTAAATGTATCATTTTGATGGCGGAATTAGAGATTAGACTGCAGAAATTGAAATCTACACGCTAATGCACACTAAACTCATAGTCACGCAATGCTGATTAATCTGAGAATAAAGTATAACAATAATAATAATTTGCACGGTTTGATGTGATATGAGCTAACCGATCTTTAGATTTAATCACCATTTGTAGCGAGATTTATGGTAATGCTTTTTTCCTCAGTTGGTCAGAACAAACGTGGCAGACTTGTTACTTACTTGTCCAGATGACAGTATACGGAGAAAATTCTTATTTGGGTCATATTCCAAGACGAGCTAGAATCTGTGATTACTAAGTATAGGATTCACACCGGTGCGGTGACTGACTGCCACACATACTCTTCAGAACATTAGATTCATCCGCGCTGGAGCCGCGCCGGAGCACAACCCACACAAGCTAGATAATTCCACACACAGCTGCAATTACAGGTTTTCAAACAGAGATGGCAAAACTTACGGACTGCAGCTTTAAATACGTTCCATAAACATTTATAATTTCCTCTAACTTTCTCTCAGCTAAAGTGGTGAGTTCTCGCGCATCCTCTTCGTCCGGCTCTCTCCAGCGATCGCGCAGCGATGTGGACGTTAACGCCGTGGCCAGTGCCAAATCACGAATGCCTGCTGTTGCTGCTACCGCCCCCTTCAGCTCAGCCGCGGCACTGCCGCCCGGTTCCTATGCCTCTCTGGGTAAAACAACCCACACTTACATGTTTAGAGCGGTGGAGAACAGTAATCAGAGTAAATACTGATGTAGAGAGCCAAACAATCCCATAATGAGGTGATTGTGTGAAATTTAAGGCCCCATTTTTTTGTGTGTGAGTGTCTGTGCTGTTAATGTCCTTCAATTATTATTAATAATAATAAATGTCATAAATAAATAAATGTCATATATATTAATTTATAATTATATTTAAATTATAATTAAAGGGCATTAATTGTAAATGTTTATATACTATATATTATATGTAATTTTATTTAAATATATATTTTTTAATTATAATTTTTTTGTAGAGAGCCGAACAACCTGATAACAAGGTGATTGTGTGAAATTTAAGAACTCTTTTTAGGTGGCTGTGCAGTTAAGCTATTTTAATTATTATTTAAATAATAATACACTTTATATAAAAAATATATATTTATATTTAAATTAATAATTAAAGTACATTAACTTTGAACGTGCTTGCACTATTTATATTTAAATAATTAACGTATAATTAATTACATTTAAATTAATTATTTTTTAATTATACGTTTTAAAAATCATATCTCATTATAGAATATCACATTATTTAATGAGTTTAGAAATGATCAAATTTTTATTCAATTTACTTGTTGAACTAGCACACCTTCTGTAAAGTGACTACACATGATAATTTTAATGCCATGTTTTAGCCTTTTTTGAAACATAAAAGTGAATTAAGTAATGTTGAATTGTCCAATGGTATACATTTATTATTACTATTATTCTATGCATGACAACAGAAAGATGCTATGTTGTCGACAATTCCCAGACAAACTATATCTGTTTTTGTGTTCTGTTTGATTTTGACTATATTTACATGGTTTGCATAAATATATTTATGTATCAGGATAATATAAGCAAGCTTTTGGATCAGGCATTAGAATCTATTCCAAGCATGAGTTTTGACACACATGTTCATATGAGGGGGTTTTGATGAATAATACACTCCTGCATGATCCCAAACGGTTTCCTCTAACACGCGCTGATGCTGTTGTCTTCTGTTGTACCTCTGCTCTTATTTGCTCAAAGATGCGGCTGGTAATGAGGAGGGTAAGATGTGTGTGTCTCATCTATCACTCTGTGCCGTTTTGTGTTGAAATGTCGTCAGTCTGTTTGAGACGCACACAGGAGATGGGTCCAGTTGATTGGCTAGTGTGGGTAATTTGATAAATAAGTGACATAAAATCAAGATGCAACATTCTCCAGCATTTATATGAATACTGTATATGTTTGAATAAGCGTTTTGAACATGTTCTTGTCAGTCAGCATGAGTCTTCACAGCGTCTGTGTTCAGTTTGGGTTTGTTGAGTATAAGTTGTGTGTTTGGGTTTTGTATTTAGGTTTTTGTGCATCTATGCATCAGTTTGCACAGTTAAATGAATTGTGCAATAAGTAATCTCTGTTTATGTCTGTTTGATTAAAATATGCATTTATTTAAAAACTTTAATTAGTATATGCATTTGTAATATTATGTTTTTATATATATATATATATATATATATAATTAAATATTAAATTAATTATTTTTATTTTATTAAATTGTTTTTATTTGTATATTAAATTTTATTTGTAAATTAAATGTATATTATTTGTTAAAATATGAATATTAATTTAAATAATTATTTATTTAACAATTTGTTGCAAAGGCAACATTTCAAAATGTAAATGTTTTCATCTAATATTTATATTTCATTTTATTTCAGCTTTATTTCAATTCAGTTTTCATTTTGATTTTAGTTGAATTTTTAGTCATTTTATGTGCTTTTGTAATTTTTATTAGTTTTTGTTTTTTAAATATTTCTAAATCATTTTAATTTGTTTCAGTTTTACTTTTATTTTAGTTAGTAATTTTTGTACTTCAGTATATTTCAAAATTTTCATTTTGTTTGTTTTTCATCTAATATTTATATTTAATTTTATTTTAGCTTTATTTAAATTATTCCGTTTTCTTTTTGTTTTCAGTTTAAATTGTAGTCATTTTATGTGCTTTTGTCATTTTTATTATAAATTTATAGATATTCCTAAATGTATATTTCAATTTGTTTCACTTCAGTTATAAATATTCATACTAATAACTTAAACTATTTTCAAAATGTTCTTGTAGTTTTTAATCAGATATTAATTTTTATATATTAAAAATATTAATGTATAAAATATATAGTTATTAAATAAATATTAAAATAAATGTTTTTTTTTGTTTGTTACTGAAATGATTTTTGTTCATCCATAATTTTACGGTTCTGTATTTTTTCTCTGTCCTTCTGCAGGTCGTGTGCGAACAAGACGACAGAGTTCAAAGACGGCAGCTGGGGGCGGAGCTTCTGTGACTGACAGTAGGGGGCGGAGCCGAGCCAAAGCTGTGTCCCAATCACAACGTGAGTTTTTGGTTACATCATCCTGTTCAGCTGTCCTAGATCAGGATTTATGCTTGTCAATCAAATATCTTTACACAGAAATGATTGAAATATTATAGAGACAATTAAAGGGGTAGTTCACCAAAAAAGGACTTTCATGTCTGATTTTATTGCAAACATTCATTGTTCGCGTTTGGGTGAGTAAATGATGGCAGTGTTTTCATTTTGCGGTGAACCGTCCCTTTAAACAAATGATAAACCTTGATCAAGAGATGTACGGTATGCTGTAATATCATTGGCTGCAGTGTAATATATATATTATACTACAGTATAATGTGGCTCTCGTGTGTTTTCGGTTGACATCCCTCTTAATGAAGAGATATGAACTCCATCTCTCTTCCTGTGCCGCCTCATAAACATCAGCATGCTTTAGATCAGCTGTAGTTCATGCTGAAGCATGGACTCATGGGTAATGTAGTTTCTCTTCACTGTCCCGCGTCAAGGATCCAGATCGGCTAATCCGGTGGTGGGTAAAACGCACGGTACGGAGTAAAACACGGATTGATGTCTGCATGCGTTCCGTCATGAAAGCATGATCCACTGTACTGTTGCGATTGATTCCCGGATGTGTTATTATTATTATTTTGCTGTCATATCTCTGTTTTTGTCAAGTCACTTTAAGGCGAGTCAGTTCACTCGGCGTCCATCTTGGTAGTGCGCTTGGTTAGTTATTTCCAGCCAGTATAGTAATCGTTAACTTCTACTAAAACTATTATTTGTCAATTGAAATAAAGCTAAACTAAACTAAAATATAAATATTAAATAACAAAAATGTATGATTTAAATGTTGAAATATTGCTTTGCAACTAACTGAAATAAGTTTAAGTTGAAGTATGAAAATTACTAAATGAGATAAAACTAAAACTGGAATGTAAAATAATGTTTTAAAAATAAATTGAAATGATTTAGAAATATGAAAAATTAACAAAACTAACAAAAGCACATAAAACAATTGCTAAAAAATCTGGGTAAAAATGAAAAATATTGTAAAATTGTAATAACAATAATAATAAAATGTAGAAATATATAAAAAAAACACATTTACTAAAAATTAAGCTAAAACCCCCCAAAATTTAAAAATTACAAATGTAAAAAATAAATTAAAAATATTTTTAAAAACAATTTTTTTTTTATAAAAATGACATAAGCACATAACACAATTACTAAAAATTAAGCTAAAACTGAAAATAATGTAAAAATATTTAATTTTTTTTAAGTTAATAAAAATGACAGTCACATAACACAATTAATAAAATTAAGCTAAAACATAAAAGTAATGTAATTTAAAAAAAAATTAAAACTTTATCAATATTAAAAAAAAGGAAAATTAATAAATATGACAGTTAGTAAAAATTAAGTTGAAACTGAATTTTAGATCTTTTTTAAAATTTAAAAAATAAGTTTAAACTATTCAGAAATATTTCTTAAAAACTAATAAAAAAGACAGAAGCACATAACAAAATTACTAAAAATTAAAAATCCCATTCAAAAGCCAATTCAAAATGATAATAAGTAACTCTAATAGATATAAAAGAGTATATATAAATAATAGTAAAATAACATTGTTTCCAGCATTGTGCATTCAGCTCCGTCTGTTTAAAGTGAGAAAGAATCAGGAATAACAATAACAAGGCCAACATTTATTGTGATTCTTAAGTTGAAATCATGCAAAAAGCACATTTTCTGGCTGTAACAACAAAGCCTATTTTGTAAACAAACACAATTTTGTAAATGATCTCTTAAACGTATTCATAATATAATGATAAACTGTACAGAAGCTTGCTATTTTAAGTGTTATGTTTTCTCCATTTATCAATGTACGAGTGGACGGTCTCTGCCTTACACAGCCTCTGTTTATGTGTCCGATGAATGTGCCGCTTGTATTGATGTACTCTAGACATATACAGTATTTACAGTAACACTGACATTAAATCAAGTCACAGAACACTGTTTAAGTTAAGCGTATCTGTGTTACAGCGGGCAGCCGCTCTAGTTCACCCGGGAAGCTCTTGGCGCGCTCTTCCATGAGAATCCCTCGATCCGCCGGATCCGCTGGAGCGTCGTCGGACAAACGCAGTAAGATCCCGCGCAGTCAAGGCTGCAGCCGAGAGACGAGTCCCAGCCGTGCACGAGACGGTAAGACATTTACATCTGGTCGCCTAGCAGATGCAAATTTATGTTGAATATTAAAAGGGATCCTATTATGCAAAATCCACTTTTACATGGTGTTTGGACATAAATATGTGTTGGCAGTGTGCGAACACAACCACCCTACAATGATAAAAATCCACCCACTCCTTATTTTTTTATCTCCATTTAACCCAATCAGTCTCGTTAGACCTGCCGTTTTGATTCTCTGTGCAGTGTGACATCACATTGTTTAGGCCGCGCCCCCACAGCCGCTGACTGACACTGCCGTATTAGCAGAGGCCCCGCCCTGAGTGAGCCGCACACAATCCGCCATGTTTATCTTCACGCTAGAGCCTTTAAAAGCGGCATTCAAGTTAGAAATGTCTTCTTATTAAAGCTATAGAAGTTATTCAGTCAAGAGTACTGTTAATTTTGTCAGCTATTTTCAGTTTTATTCGTAGTCTTAGTCCCGTGTTAAATGTCCTTGTTAGCTTTTATCATATTTAGTTAACCTTATCCTATTTTTATTTTGGTCAAGTTTTAGTCAACTAAGGCCCGGTTTCACAGACATGGCTTAGAATAAGCCAGGATTAGGCCATAGTTCTTATTAGGACATTTAAGTAATTTTTATTAACATGCCTTAGAAAAAACATTACTGGTGTGCATCTTGAGACAAAACAAAGGCACTGATATGTTTTAAGATCAGTCAGTGCAAGTTTCTTTCAGTTGAAACAGCTCAGATTTACATTTTAATCTGGGACTAGGTTTAAGCCTTGTCTGTGAAACCGGGGGTAAAAGTCTCAGTATTTTAGTCTAGTTTTAATCAATGAAAACTTGACATTTTAGCAATAAGATTATTATTCATTAACCGTACAGCAGTATTCATTTTGGCAGCCATTTTTTATTTAGTCTTAGTCTTACTCAAATGTACATTTTAGTTATTATCGTATTTAGTCAACCTTGTCCTGTTTTTGTTTAGTCAAGTTTTAGTCGACGAAATGTCTGAACATTTTAGTCAGGTTTTAGTCAATGAAATCTTAGTCGTCATGCTGTATAATGGTTAAACTGATTAAAATTATTTTTGCTCAAAATTATAATCGTAATGATTGTTGTCATATGAGAAATTTACTTTTGTATTTCAGACATTGCACTTTCACCAGTAAGCACAAATCAGTAGAATGTGGACTCATACACATGGTTTATTTCACCTCATCTAGTGTACTGATTTATTATAGGCTTTTTGTTATATAAATTAATATAAAAGACTTATGCACTCTCTCTGTCTACATTATGAAAACTGGTAAAAAAAAAAAATATTATAACAGTGAAATTCCTAATAGTAATTCCACTAATTCCAAATTGCAATAGCCTATGTTTCTCTATTAAAACAACAGCGGTTGAGTAAGTGCATTTATTCAGCGATCACAATCGCAAACAATATAGTTGAGACTCATGACAGAACACAGACCGGCTGAATTATGCTTTTATTTAGATCGCTAAACTCCAGCTTGTTTGTTGCTGTATTCAGATCATCTGCAGCGGCGCTTCCGCAATAAAGAGCGAGCGTGTGCTTAAAATAGCCAGACTGCAATCAAATAAGCAAAACACCGGGCAGAAAATGTATCAATGTAACAGCGAAGCTCTGATTTGGGGATTTGAACTCTTGATATCTGGCAACCGCACTCATGAGAGTTCGCGTAGTAGAGGCGTGTAGAGCAGTCCGCAGTAATATTTTGTCTCCTTTTTTGGACGAAAATAAAAAGAGGTTTTGGGTAAAGTTTTTATTTTTTGAATGCATTTTAGTCTCATCTTTTATCATCAAATTGCATGTTGATATAGTCATAGTTATCGTTTATTGACCTTATTGTCGTCTCGTCATCGTCTCGTTTTAGTCATGGGCTAAAAACATTTTTCGTCATAGTTTTTGTTAACGAAATTAACACTAGTCAAGAGCAGTGAGTGATTTTCTGTTTTTATATATTGTTTGGCTCATATTAAAGGGATAGTTCACCCAAAAATGAAAATTCTGTCATTAATTACTCACCCTCATGTCGTTCTAAATCACTTAATGCACAGATCTAACATAAACATGCGATTTCTTTCCCAGCGGTTTATCTTCACAGTCATAACCGACTGTGTTTGTGTTGTGAGTTTGTGTTGTGTGTATTTGACAGTTTAAGCGCAATAAGACATGAAAGAGAACTTAGTTTAGTGCTCACATGCCGTATGACAGCTGTTTTCTGTGCGTTCGCTTCGAATGTGTGCGCTCAGAAAACCCTTAATCAAAAGTTTAAACTGATATGGCTTTAAAATGCATGATTTCAGTGCAATAGACATGATAATAAAAACCAAGCAGATGGTTTTTAGCAGAGTATCTGAGGCGCGAGCTGTAATGGCGCAGCTCTATTCTGGAAAAAGGGGCGGGGAGCAGCAGCTCATTTGCATTTAAAGAGACATGCACGAAAACAGCGTGTTTCTGCTTCCACTCAAAATGGGCATTTTCAGAATGATATAATAAATGATCTGTGGGGTATTTTGAGCTGAGACTTCACAAACACATTCTGGGGACACCTGAGACTTATATTACATCTTGTAAAAAGGGGCATAATAGGGTCCCTTTGAACACTGAAGTCTGCATGTTAAATGATCTCCTGCTCATCACACAGTATGCTTTATTTTTCTTTAGTTATAAAGTGAATGAGCAGCCAAATGCTCTGTAAGTGGGTTAAAATTGCGCAAATAAACTAGTAAGCACTGAACGGCCTATTATCCATGTGACCCAGTGCAGTCAGTGATCAATGTGAGCAGCACTGCATGTCACTGTCCTTCATGTGATCCAGTCGATACGTCTGCAGTGAACAGACTGAAGACTCACAGCTGCAGTGGTTCTTCTCTCTGTTTGTGTTCATGTCGTTGTGGTTGAAATCTATGAGCATCATTTACTGCAGATAAACTAAAAGTTTGTCTGGGTCTGGACCGTTCTCTTCTTTAGCTTCTTTCAGCTGTAAACATGTAATTGTTTGTAATTGAGCTGAAAACTTTGTTGTTCTTCTTTTTATTTGACTGTTGTTCTTTTCTCTTTTGTTTATTATGTTTGGTTGAGCATATCATATATATATATATATATATATATATATTGTCATTACGATTATTTAAATCCAGAGAAATTTGGATTTAAATCATTTGATTTATTATAATTTTATATTATTATAATATTATTTGTATGTTATGTCATATTCTTTTATGATTATCATGAAAGGGGAAGTTGAATTTAAATATGTTTTAAGCTGCACTTCACCATCTGAAAACTTTTGTTCTTGTTTTGTTATTTGGTTGTTGTTCTTTTCTCTATAGTTCATTACATTTGGTTGAATTTTTTTCTATGTTCTTTGTTTGTTCATTTCAAAGTAAAATTGCATGTTTAGAAATATAACTAAATATACTACTACTACTACTGCTAATAACAATAGTTATTGTAATTATTATTATTTGTATATTTTTATTTATTTTTTGTCATTTTTATTATGTTTTGAAAGGGAAAGTTGAATTTAGATAACAATAATAATATTTTATTTAATATTATAAGAAGTTTTTTTTATCTTTTATGATTATAATTATTATTATTTGTATATTTAAAAAAAAATTTTATCTCATATTTTTACGATTGTCTTAAAAGGGGAAGTTGAATTTTAATATCATATTTTAAGCTGCACTTCGCCATCTGATCTGTTACTATTTCTGCTGTCATGTCTTCCTCATGGTCTCATTCTACCTGCACGTTTCTCCTCTGCTGACTCCTGCCGTGCGTGCGTGCGTGTGTGTGCGTGTGTGTGTCTGTGTCTGTGTCTGTGTGTGTGTGTGTGTGTGCATGCGTGTGTGTGTGTGTGTCTGTGTGTGTGTGTCTGTGTCTGTGTCTGTGTCTGTGTGTGTGTGTGTGCATGCGTGTGTGTGTGTGTGTCTGTGTGTGTGTGTCTGTGTCTGTGTCTGTGTCTGTGTGTGTGTGTGTGCATGCGTGTGTGTGTGTGTGTCTGTGTGTGTGTGTCTGTGTCTGTGTCTGTGTCTGTGTGTGTGTGTGTGCATGCGTGTGTGTGTGTGTGTCTGTGTGTGTGTGTCTGTGTCTGTGTCTGTGTCTGTGTGTGTGTGTGTGTGTGCATGCGTGTGTGTGTGTGTGTCTGTGTGTGCGTGTGTGCGTGCGTGCGTGCATGCGTGTGTGTCTGTGTCTGTGTGTGTGTGTGTCTGTGTCTGTGTCTGACCAGTCCGGCTCGAGGGTTCAGTCCGCTGGGTAAGAGCCCAAAACCAGACCAGACCAGACTCCTGCGCATGTCTTTACTCACACTTCAGCTATGAATGGGTTTGCTTTGAGGAGTTTGGATCTAAATGTTTCTGTTTCGCCTTTAGTATCCCATGAAACATTAGGACTGAATGATATGACTAAAAATATATATGCTAACATTTTTTAGCCTTTTGATGATATTCATATACAGGTCAATATCAGTGTTATCATTGAGAGACTATTATAGTTTTAATTTGTATTTTGAATTAGTTTTAATTTTCAATTTTCATTTTCAATTTAGTTAAAGTTTTAGTAATTTTGTTGTGTGCTTTTTCATATTTATTAGTTTTTAAATGTCTGTATAGTTTTTATTAATTTTTAGTTAAATTTTAGGTATTTTAATATATCAAGTTTAGATAAATGAGAATAATTGCCTTGTCAACTAGCTGAAATAAAATTATATTACATTACATTACATTGTCATTTTTATGATTTTCTTAAAAGGTGAATTTGAATATAAATAATAGTAGTAATAATATATTATATTAATATTATTATTTGTATATTTAAAATTATTGCTATATTCACAGTGTTGCCTAATTTTATATTGCTGGCTAAATCAATGCAGATCTTTCATCCAAACTCTAAAATCTAACCAGTTGATTTCATATATTTCTTTCCTATAATTTCTCTTCATGTAACTCTCTGTGTTTGCGAGTGTGTTAGTGAACTAAAAGAATAAACTGTTATGTGTCACTAGTAAAATGAGAGTTTGTTTCTGAAATGTGTGTGACCTGATCCTTCCCAGCATCCCACAGATACTCTCGCTCCACCAGCGCGCTGACGGCTGGCGATGTCCTGCAGACAGGTGATTGCACGAGTCCGGGTCACGGCACCAGAATCCAGATCATCAGTGTTTTTAACAGGGCTCATGCTGAACCTGTTCAGAAGTGTATCTGTCAGTCACATCCAGGTTTAGAGCGAGTTTCAGCAGATTTAGACTCCTGTGAGATGAGCTCAAACACACGGTGGCGCCAGAGACCATCTCTGCATTCACTGTCACTGATGAAGCTTTAACACCAGCTCAGTTTCCCTGGATGCACTGCAAAAAATGCTTTTCTTACTTAGATTTTTTGTCTTGTTTCCAGCCAAAATATCAAAAAATTCTTAAATCAAGTAAGATTTTCTAGACAAGTAAAAATGATTGTCTTGTTTTCAGAAAAATCAAGCCAAAATTAAGCGAGTTTTTGCTTTGAAACAAGCAAAATAATCTTGTTTTCTGTTTGAAATAAGATAATTTTGCTTACCCCATTGGCAGATTATTTTGCTTGTTTCAAGCAATAAACAACTTAATTTTGACTTGTTTTTTCTGAAAACAAGACAATAATTTTTCAGGCCAGTTAATCGGCTGATGTTTGGAGATTTTGAGATTATTGGCAGTAGTGTGTTATTTCTCCCTTATGCCATTTCCAAAATCTACTTGCAGCCTTGTCATTTTATTTTATTTTATTTTATTTATTTATTTATTTTTTTAATGGAATATTGTGTGAAGTTTTTATTTGTGTGAAAAAATAAATATGTATGTCTCGTTTGCCATCATATAATTTTAATATACAGTGGGGTCCAAAAGTGTAGTAATTTATATTTTGTACTTTTCTAATATAATATAAACATTTTTTTAATTAAAAATGATGTTATCAGCTTAGCAATTGAATCAAAAGTTGAATAACACACGAACATAATCCTCAGAATCACATAGAAAGAGATTTCTCGTCCATTTGACAACATTCATTTATTTATTTACTTATTCATTCTGATTATATTCATATACAGATCAATATCAGTTTTTAGTAATATTTTGAATAATTTTTTTATTTGATATTTTCTATTGTTATTTTAGTTACAATTTTAGTAATTTTGTAATGTGTTTTTGTCATATTTTTTTTTACTTATAGTTTTTATACATTTTTATTTCAGTTTTAAATGTAGTTATATTAGTACATCACGTTAAGCTAATTAAAAATGAGAAATTATTTAGCTAAAATAAAATAAAAAATGTAAAAAAATTCTATATTTTATTTTATTTCAGTTAATGATTTTTTTAAGTACCAAATGCTTTTAGTTTTACTTAAATATTGTTATTTAAATATTTAAATATTTATGCATTTGCTCTTTATTAGTTTTATGTATTTATTTATGTAATTCATGCATTCATTCAAAATCCTAAAACTTGGTTTATTTCCAGATTTGAATAATTAATCATTTCAATTTGAATCATACATTTTCAGCATTATTTCAGACTGTTGAGCCCCGTTGCATATTTGTGTTTGATTTTGAGAGTTTTACTGTTGTTTTGACTTCAATTTCTTGCGTTTTTTGTAATTTCTTGATTTGTTTTCTTACATGCAGATTTTTGTTTGTATTGTTTTCTTGCATGTTTTCAGTCAGATCAGTCTGTGTTTGTACGCTTGTGTGCTGTGATGCTGATGAATGAAAAGCATGCAGTGTCTGTGTTTGGTTTTTCTGAACATTGATGTTGTGTGTGGTTACTGAACCCTCTCCGTCTCCGTCTCTGTCTCTGTCTCTGTCTCTGTCAGATCGGTTCGGTCTCATCCATCAGGCCATGCGGATCTTGAACACGGGCACAGAGGTGGAGGCGGCCGTGGCAGACGCTCTGGTGAGAATCACGTCCTCCATCTCCAGTCTGATTATTATCCGTCATCATATTCCTGATGTCTTTGTCTTTACTGTCCCTCTGCATTTGTCTGGAAACCCTGCAGCTTTTAGGAGACTCCAGGAATAAGGTAGTTGGTTTATGGACACCTGATTGAGTGTTTTTCCTCTCAAAATCTTCACCATAATTTCTTTCATAAACCAATCATGTCTGTGGCATTTCATACAAACGTATAATATAGTATAAAAAGTGAGATGAGAATATTTCAACGTGTTTGGCATGAAAACAATGTCCTAATGCAAAAAAGTCCTAAAATAGCCTTAATTTTCATACCGTTTGGGGTCGTTATTTTGTTTTTATGTTTTTGAATGAAGTCTCTTCTGCTCATCAAGGCTGCATTTATTTGGTCAAAAATACAGTAAAAATTGTGAAATATTATTACAATTTCAAATAACTGTTTTCTATGTGAATATGTGTTGAAATGTAATTTATTTCTTTGATTAAACCTGAATTTTCAGCGTCATTACTCCAGTCTTCAGTATCACATGATCCTTCAGAAATCATTCTAATTTGCTGCTCAAGATTTTCTGATTATAACTTATTATTATTATCAATGTTGAAAACAGTTGTGCAGCCCAATATTTGTATGGAAGCCGTGATGCATTTTATTTTTCAGGATTCACAGATGAATAGAAAGTTCAAAAGAACAGCATTTATTTGAAATAGAAATGTTTTGTAACATTATAAACGTCTTTACTGTCACTGTTGATGAATAATAATAATTTATTAATTAGTAATATTATTTATTAACTTATAAAAAAATTATATTAATAATTTATATGAACAAAAAAAAATACTGACCCCAAATATTTCAATGATGGTGTATATTTTTTAATTTTTTCCTTTTGATTTTGAGATGGCTTTTGTTCTGGCCATGGGATTCAGCTGTATTCACTTACATTCACATGCATGTAATTGTTCAAAAACATCCATGACCGTCAATCCTTTGCATGTCTCTTTTCTGTCTAATCAGTGTTCGTTCCTTTAGGTTTTAGCTGCATGCATCGTGGCGTAATCTTAGTAATATTTCACAGATGTACTCTAGCAGTCAAAAGTTTTTGAACAGTAAGATTTTTAATGTTTTTTGAATTTTTGAATGATTTTCTGCTCACCAAGCCTGCAGTGCATTTATTTGATCCAAAGTACAGTGAAAACAGTACAATTTTGAAATATTTTTACTATTTAAAATAACTGAATTCTATTTGAATATATTTTAAAATGTAATTTATTACTCCAGTCACATGATCCTTCAGAAATCATTCTAAAATTCTGATTTGCTGCTCAAAAAACATTTATTATTATTATTATTATGTTGAAAACAGCGGAGTAGAATTTTTCAGGTTTCTTTGATGAATAGAATGTTCAGAAGAAAAGCATTTATCTGAAATAGAAGTCTTTTGTAACAATGTTTTTGTAAAAATGTGCTCAACTGTTTTAAATATTGATAATAATAATAATAATAATAAATGTTTCTTAAGCAGCAAATCAGCATATTAGAATGATTTCTGAAGGATCCACTACACTGGAGTAATGATGCTGAAAATTCAGCTTTGAAATCACAGAAATAAATTACATTTTAAAATATATTCAAATAGAAAGCAGTTATTTTAAATAGCAAAAATATTTCACAATATTACTGCTTTTGCTGTACTTTGGATTAAATAAATGCAGGCTTGGTGAGCAGAAGAGACTTCTTTAAAAACATTACAAATCTTACTCTTCACTTGGTAGTGTATATGTAGTGTTTGTAAGTCATCTTTGTGCTGCAGCGGAGGCCGATGCGGCGGCGGTACGAATCTCCCGGCATGTACTCGGATGACGACGCCAACAGCGACGCATCCAGCGCCTGCTCCGAACGCTCCTTCAGCTCCCGTAACAGCGCCGCTCCACATTACCTGCGTCAGACGGAGGACGTGGCCGAGATCCTGAACCACTGCGCCAGCTCCAACTGCTCCGAGAGGAAAGAAGGGCTGCTGGGACTCCAGAACCTCCTGAAGAGCCAAAGAGTGCTCAGGTAAGTGAAGTGACGTGTGACCCATAGAATTTGTGCTCTGCATTTAACCTTTAAACTCAAGCGTCTCACCTCGGTCGTGGTATTGAAGGTGGAAGAGAGTGCTGGTTATTCACTCTCCCACTGGACCTGAGACTCGAACCCGCAACCTTCAGGTTGCAAGTCCGACTCTCTAACCATTAGGCCATGACTGCACCAGAAAGGGCCACCAACTGCACCGCTTACTGAGAAATGTTAAAAAAATTATAAGAATATTAATTATTATTATATATTTCTATAAATATTTTATTACATTTTATAAAAAAAAATAAAGAATAATAATTACTAATATCAGCCCAAATATTTATATCTGTGCACCTTCTTAATTATTTATTTTGATAATTTACATTTTGGTAATCTATATTCTTTTTATTTTATTAAACAAAATGTATGAAGAGTCATTCGGCATCTACTACACTGGTTACTACAAAATAAAAATAACAATTATATTACATATTTTAATTTGATTAAAATTATGTCATTTAAAAATTAAATTACTAATATCAGTCCACATCTCTAAATCTGTGCACCTTCATAATTATTTAGTTTATTTCAATTTTATAAAAATATAAATTGTTTTAATTTTACTAAAATTTTTTATTAATAAATTAATTACTAAGAGTCCTCAGGTACATGCAGCATTAACTACACTGGTTACTAAGAATAGAAAAAAAATATAGAGATATATTTATTTCAATATTTAATTTTATTAAAATAAGTTTATTTAAAAAAAAAAAATGTAATTACTAATATCGGTCCAAATTTCTATATCTGTGCATCTTCTTAATTATTTAGTTTGATCATTTTAATGTATATATATATGTTTAGTATAATTTAGTTTGACATTAAATATCATTTTAGAAGTGCTTTTTTTTTTTTAGAAGATTTCTGATGATAATACCATTTGCAGTTTTTCGATTTTGATGTGAACAATATGATTGTGTCTTAAAAAGTGCATTAGAAATCTGAATTGTATTACAGATGTAAAGATGTGAGTGTCTATATATATGTGTTTCAGTCGTGTGGAGCTGAAGAGACTGTGTGAGATCTTCACCCGGATGTTTGCAGATCCTCACAGCAAGGTGACCTTTCATCATCTTCATTCATTCACAGTTTCATTAAATCATGCTTATGTTTGTTTTGACTTCTAATGCTGATGACTTTTGTTCTGTTTTATGTTCTGCTGCTGCTTTGGGCCGATGCTTCAGAGAGTAAGTGATTCGAACCTGAAAATCTTGGCAAACAAATACATTTTAAAAACTTGGGGCCGCTCACACAAATGTTATTTTAGTACCTTTGAGAGCAATAGTTTTTATTTTTGTATTTTCTGTTTTTTTATTAATTTTTTTTAATTTGTAGTTTTTATTTTAATTAAATTTCAAGGTTCAAGTTTTAGTGATTTTGTTGTGTTATTGTCATTTTTATTATTTTTTAAACGTCTTTATAGTTTTATTCATTTTTAGTTTGGTTTTAGTTATTTTAATACATCATGTCAAGCTAAATGAGAAATATTGCCTTGTCAACTAGTTGAAATAAAATACTATTCTTTTATAATATTATAATACTATTTAAACGTCTATAATGTTTCAAATTAAAATGTAATTAAATGTAAAAAAAATTTTTATTTCATGTTTATTTTGAATTATTTTAGTACTTCAGCTTAAATATATGAAAATAAAAATACCTGAAATAAAATAATTTTTAAAAATATATTAAACATTTTTCAATTAATTATTTTTATTTTAATGCATTAATTATTAATTAATTAATTTTATTCTAGTTCATACAGAATGTGCTGTTGCGTTCGAAAAGATGCAGCGGCCAAAGACTGACATGAAGCAACAATTAAAACATTCAGTTCAGATGAAGCTACAGCAGAGATGCTAAATCACATTTCCTGTGTTTCTACACCGATGTGTGTGTGTGTGTGAGTGTGTGTGTGTGTGTGTGTGTGTGAGTGTGTGTGTTTGTTTAGAGGATCTTCAGGACTGGCTCTTCATTCTGCTCACGCAGCTGCTGAAGAAAATGGGGGCCGATCTTCTGGGCTCCGTTCAGGCCAAAGTTCAGCGGGCCCTCGACGTCACCAGGTCTGAAACCAGCACAGCTTGTACTATAAAGCGTTCAAGAGTGTTCAGCAGTGAACTGTATTTCTGTATTTTTGTCCTGTAGTCGTTGTTTATTTTCTTCTTTCCGTCCTGGTTTTCGCAGGGACTCTTTTCCGTACAATCAGCAGTTCAACATCCTGATGCGGTTTATCGTGGATCAGACTCAGACCCCAAACCTCAAGGTCGGTCTGGACTTTATTTTCTCATTTCCCAACGTTTTCCTGCTCTGCTTCAATTGAGCTCATAACCAGTGTCCAAAAATAACTTATAAAACGGATAGTTCCGGTGCTTGATTCTGATTGGTTGAGCCGCGTTCGAAGCTGTTGTAAATTACTCTACAAACATACACCTTTGTTTACGTTTGTGTGTTGCTCGGCAACCACTTTGTTGCAACCACAACTGTTTCTGAGGAACTACATTGTTTGGTGGAAGAATACTGTTTTTATTAATATCATTACACTTTATGTGCTCTGTTTTATTTTGTGAAACCTTACTACGTATATGGAATAACCGTTTTATAAAAGCAATAAGCCCCGTGAAGCCGTGGTTTACAGTGAATTTATAACAGCTCCGCGTCGTGCCTAACAACGCCCCTTAGCTGTTATAAATTCACTGTAAACCACAGCTTCTTATTGCTTTATTTTAATGTCCATCAAACCACCAAATTAAAACATTTTGAATAAAAATAATATTTGAAATAATAATAACAATACAATTTGAAATAAAATAGAAAAATACTATTTGAATAATGTTATGGAAAATAGCTGAATTATTAATAATTATCATAAATGTGCTTCCTTGCCGAATGTCTGGTTTATACATTTCGTATGATTGTCATTGAACTTTTCTTTCAAACACCATTGTTAACACGTTGTTAATGCATTTGCTAATTTTAACTAACAATGAGCAATTTATTTGTTACAGTACTTATTAATCCTTATTATTGTTAGATAATAAAACATGCTGTTTATTGTTAGTTCATGTTGCTCAGATCTATTAAATATTAGCAAATACTTTTGACTGTAATAATGTATTAATAGATGTTGAAATTAACATTAACTAAAAATAATAAATGGTAACAAATCAACCTTATTGTAAACAGTGTTAAATGGTATCACTGAAGTACTATTATGGTTTTTATTAATATTTTGAATTATTTAAAAAATTTTGTTGTGCTTTTGTCATTTTTTAAATGTCTATATAGTTTTGATCAATATTTAAATATTTTTTATATTTATATTTTCTGTGTTCATCGTAATTTTAGTTAATGTTTTAGGAATTTTGTTATGTTTTTGTCTCTTTTTTTAGTATTTTTTAAAAAGTATGTCTGCATAGTTTTTATTAATTTTTATTTCAGTTTTAGTTTTTAGAACGTCATGTTAAACTAAAAATAAAAATGAGAAATGTTGCCTTGGAAACTAACTGAAATATAATAAATTTTTATATTTTATTTCATTTAACGTTTATTTTATAACTATAATAACCCTGATTGTAGTGTTATCAAACCATGTGAATGTCTTTGAATCATTTGAATCACATGTTGATTATGAAGACACTTTCTAAGTCCTCATAATTAAAATAGCTTTAAAAACATACTAAACTTTACAAAATGTAAAAATGGCTGTAGTTTTGTGTGAGGGGCAGGTTTAGGTGTAGGGTTAGGGTAAGGGGATAGAAAATACAGTTTGTACAGTAGAAAAAACATTACGCCTATGGAATGAACCCATAAAACATAAAAACCAACGTGTGTGTGTTTGTGTGCGTGTGTGTGTATGTTTGTGTGCGTGCGTGTGTGTGTGCGCGCGTGTGTGTGTGTGTGTGTGTGTTTGTGTGCGTGTGTGTGTGTGTGCGAATCATGACGTGGACCACAGAGCCGAAGAGCTCAGACATCAGGAAGGTCAGTGTGTTTTTCCTCTTCTTTTCTGTGAGGCTCCGGCTGAAGTTGGGTTTGTCAAAGTGAGCTGTGGTGTGTCTCAGACGCTTCATATCTGGCTGAATGAGGAGGCGTCGGGCAGGAGCTCCACTGTGGCCTCCCTGCCGGGGGAAAGTAACCTGGAGGAGAGATGTAAGCAGGTAGTGACCCTTGACCTTTGACCTCCTGACTGCCTGCGGAGGTGACGCTGGGCTTGTCTAACACTGCTGCTGTCTGGAGGGTTTTGATCTGATGTTTCAGCATGGCAGCTGATAACCGTCTTTCCTCCTTTCTGAGCCACTAACACCTTCTGAAGCACTTGAATGACCTTTGACCTTCGGCAGTGCAGATTTATTTTGGCATGAATTAAAAAAAAACAGGGATGTGAGGGACAGACATTTTGTCCATTCATAAATAAAAACCTAAATAGTGTTACTTAAAAAAAATAACAACAAAATTGCTAAACTTTGAACTGGAAAAAAAAAAAAAAATTAACATAAATGTATCACTTAATAAAAACTAAAAATAACAAAAATTACTAACATTTAACTGGAGATAAATAAAAATAAATTAAATCTAAATAGAATTATTAAAAAAAAAACTAATAAAAATTACATGACATAAAATTACTACAATTTTAACTTGAAATCAATACAAATAAATTAAACCCAAACAGTATTATTTTAAAACACAAAAACTAATAACAAAAAAAAATTACATAACAAAATTACTAATCTTTTAACTGGAAATAAATAAACATAAATTATATTACTTAAAAAAACTAACAAATATTACATAAATTACTCAAATTTTACTGGATATAAATAAAAAATAAAATAAACCCCAAATAGTATTATTTATAAAAACAAAAACTATTAAATATTACAAACAGAATTATTTAAAATTCCACTGAAAATAAATAAAAAAGAAAACCTTAATAGTGCTATTAAAAAAAACTAAGAAATTACATAACAAAGTTACCAAAAATTTAATTGGATATAGATAAAAATAAATTAAACATAAATATTATTATTTAAAAAAACAAAAATGAATCAAAATTACATGGCATAAAATTAGTAAAATTTTAACTGCAAATAAATAAAAAACATTTTTTTTAAAATTTTATTATTTTAAAAACACAAACTAATAAGAAATAACATACCAACATTTAAAAATAAAAATAAAATTTAAACTGTAATAAAAATTAAAATAAGTGAAACATAAAAAGTATTATTTAAAAAACAAAAATTACATAACATTACTAAACATGAAACTAAAATTAAAACTGATGATATAAAAAAACTAATAAAATCTAATTTAAAATATTAATAAAACCATAACAGTATATGAAGAGTTTATTTCCAAAAACATATAACTCAGTTTATTAAAATTTTCAAAAATCATGTTTTTTATGATGTTATCATGTTTTTATTGTTTTATTGTGTTAGCTGTATTTTTTTTACCTAATCAAAATAACCCAACTGCAGTTTGATTGAGATTCACTGGAATGCACAATGAAAAAACACGATTTTTGAAAATTGTTAAAAACATAGTTATCTGTTTTTGCAAATTAACTCTTCATATAAATTATACTAAAATAACACTGGTTCAAATATTTCCAACGGACAAAAAATTTGAAAAAAATAAATGAGATGTGACCTATGACCTTACAATCTAAATATCTGTCCCTCACAGTCTTTATGCATTCGCTTCAGATTCAACATGACGTCTACTCCTCACTAAGGTCCATTGGGATGTGTATCAAACTCATGTTATTGCAAGATTTTGAAATGCTTTCATTTGCACCTAATCAGGGACAGTGTGATACGTCATTTTCTCTTCCTGTTGTGAAGTGACAAAGTCTCATATTGCCAGTTAAAGCATCTCATTAGTGTTTTTTGTGCTGGTTGTGTGTTTCCAGGCTGCTCAGATGGTTCTGATCGCCCTGTTTGAGCTGAACACCCCAGAGTTCACCATGCTGTTAGGAGCTCTGCCCAAAACCTTCCAGGACGGAGCCACTAAACTCCTGCACAACCATCTGAAGAACAGCAGTAACGTGGCTGCAGTGGTACACACGCGCTGATCTCGCTCTCCGTCACCAGTAGTGTGTTTAGGCACCATGCAAACCATGCAATTTCTACCTTTCTAATTAGCCATTTAAAAGTCCTCCTATGAGTGTCTGCATGTATAATTAAATTTACATGGTTTACGTAGATTGTTCAGTGTCCGTGGTGTGAAAATGATGGCGAGCAATTCATTTGAACGCGGCTTGAGAGAGAATTGTGAATGAAGGCGCGGATGCAGCCTCCGTGTTGCCAGATCAAGTTTTTATAATCGTTTTTAGACTTTTTTTTCAAAAATAATGTGACCTTTTAGGAAGTTAATAAAGTTGCAGTTTAGGGTTAGCGATATCTTTATCTAAATGATTAGACATTTTTTCAGTTTATTTTATTTTGGGGGGCTTTGCTTTTGTTTGTTACCACAGCAATACCTGGCAACACTGCATCGCCGGCACTAAAAATTGACAGTAATAAAACATTTTTAAAAAGCCCACAGAGAACAGGATACCACATTCGGTAATACAAACGCAATGATCATCGTGATATTATCTGTAAGAAATGGTATCAATGCTATCAAAAACAGTAGCATAATAACTACTACAGAGATTTGCAGAACAAGTACGTTACAGAATTAAAATGCCAAATATTCAGACACTGTCCATAAAGAATTTGCTATTTCATTCAGTTTTAGTAGTTAACCTTTCACAAAGTCATGCTAAAACATTCATAAGAGCACTAGGCAAAGTTCCTATCGTATAGCATTGATTACTGATGAAAACTATTACTGTATTATTGTATGAATAATAAACAAGTAATACAATTATCCACCCCAATAGAAAAGCATTAACAAATTTTAATGCAGTAAACAAGGTCTTATTAACAGTGTCCTTCCCCTTAAAACAGAGAAAACATCTTTTACAAACATCTACATGTCTGTCTCTTTTAAAGTTTGTATGTATATAATGGGTTGTATTTGTAGGTGTTATTATAGCACAATTCTTAACACCCCACCCCAGACCTCACTAATTGTCAAAACTTGGTTATGGCTATACCCTGGAACGTGATTTCTACCGCGGGGGTCCCCAGGGACTGTTTGCTTAGGGCCCCCAAAACTCTAAACTAGGGCTGTCAAAATGGCTGAAAAAAACAAATTCGAATTTTGTACTTAAATATTATCAATATTTGAATTATATTCGAATTTAAAAGGCATAATTTCAGTTAGGGGGAAAAAAAGCTTTTGGCTTCTCTCCTGAGGCCACAAGAGGGCGCATCGAGCAAAAAATTACTAATTCACGTTTATTCAAAGCAATAAAATAACACGACTATCTTTGAAAAAAGTGCATAATATTTAAAATAATGTTTATGAACCATATATAATTAATTAAGTTGCTTAAACAGTTCGAATCAAAACAGCATCATGTATGTATAGTTTAATACAAAGGACCAAAAACCAATCACAAAGAGAACTTTCTTCATTTAAAAACATGAGATGCAGTGGGATGCAGAAAAACCGCCATAAAGTCTCGAGACATGTTTTTTAAAAGTTGAAATTACATTAAATGTACATGGCTTTCTAAACATCTAGACAAAATGCTCTCTTGTGCGAGACGCGAGTGCAACGGTGATAGATGTCCCTATAGAAAATGCGATAAATATGCGTTCTGTGTGAACGGCTTGGTTTCAGTTTTGACGTAAACAAGATCTTTTCCACAATATTTTGAGTGAACAATGTAGCAGAGCCGCATCCAGTGGCTTCAAATGGATAGGCTAAAAAAAAACATTAAAATGCAACGACACCTACATCGTCATCGCATCTTGTGTGCCACTGATAAAGCTGCCTCACGCACACCTAAAAGTTTTTGCATTCGAATGTGGATTTTTATTTTAAATTCGAAATTCGAAAAAATTTTTGACAGCCCTACTCTAAACATGCCCCTGTCTGTCACTGAATGTTACAGTGTGCTGCTCGCTCAAACGTCTGTGTCGTTTGTTCAGTCTCAGGCGTCTCCCAGCGGCAGCAGCATTGTGGGACGCACCCCTCCACGACACCCGGTGACCCGCAGCAGCCCGCTGACCTCACCCACCAACGGCTCACACGGGGGACTGTCACCCAGGTACACCACCTCAAAACAAACATCTGTGAAGCTGTGGGACATGATCAGGACTACATGGAATCTGAGACTGCAGAAACAATAGTTTATTTATTTGTTAAAAATTAGCATATTAATGATAAATAAATAATAAAATAAAAATAATAATAATGTATTATTTTAAATATTACTGTTATTATTTTATTTATTATTATTATTATTATGATTAATTATTAAATAATAATACATATTTTATGTGAAGAATATAATACTCTCAGGTAGTTTTATGTGTATTGTTTTCATTTTAATTAGTTAATTGTACTGTTTTTGTCATTTTTATTTTTTATTTTTTTTCAAAAATGTCTATATAGCGTTTATTAATTTGATTTATTAATTTTAGTTTATTTAATTTCAGATATTTTAAACTAAATTTAAAGTGTAACTATTGCTTAAAGTAAAAGAGAATGAAATAAAATAAGTTTACCTTTTTTAAAAAAATTTTATTTCAGGTAACTATTATTTTATTTAAAGCAACATAAAACATTTTTTATGACCCTGCTACACATCACCTAAAATATGTTTCAGATATTTTAAACTAAACTTAAAGTGTAACTATTGCTTGAAGTAAAAGAGAATGAAATAAAATAAGTTTAGTTAACAGTAATAACCCTGCTACAGATCACCTAAAATATGTATTAAATATTTTTACAAATATTTTAATTAAATAATTTAAACATTGATTATAATTTTAAAAAATATATATTATTTTATACTAAGAATATCATATTCCCGGCTAAATTTAACACATTCAATGATGTTTAATTCAATGTAATTACAACATTTATTTCAATACAACACAAACTGACACCGAAAATGCAGATTTCATGTGGTCCTGGTCGTAACTCGAATCATAGGCTTTCTAATGGTCTTTTGCTCCAAAAGACAAACATTTGCTCTAGTGATCCTGTCCTCATCAGTAACCCATTTTTGAACATGGTTTTACACGCTTTAGTTTAATAACCAAAATGAATGAACAGTCATGTTTCACTCATTTTCAAACTCTCTGAAGGCAAATAAATGTTGATGCTATTTAGATTTGTTTTTTAGGATGTTTTTCGTTTCTGCATGAACTAACAAACAGCTTCTGCACTAAATGCACATCATGAAATGACATTAAATCCATGTTATATTACTAATATTGCTCTGTTTTGGCATTTCAAAGGGTGTTGCATCTTATGTTGCAGATTGTAAATGTCTCTGTTTTTGTTGTGACGCAATACGATAATTTTTGTTTTGACCAGCCATGATAAGTGATATTTTATCAGTCGTTTTTCCACTTTTTTGTTATTGAAAGGAAAATGTAATTCAATACTTGTTCCTAATACAGTAAATTTTGTTAAATAATAACATTTTGTGCTTCTTTGGCTGAAATGAGCAACAACAGTGACTGTAATTTCTTCAACAACTCAGATATGTGAAGGGTGTTTATTTGTTATTTCTTTTAATAATTATTTTTCTGAATTATTCTTTAAATTTTATGTTTCAGTGCTTCAAAATGATGCCTGAAGTGACAAAATCTCAACCATTCAGAATCAGTGTTATTTTAGTATCATTGATATACCTTACTGTTATAGTTTTTGTTAATATTTTGAATTAAATTTTATTTTTAGATTATCTGTTTCATTTTATTTTAGGTGATATTTTAGGTTATTTTAGGTTTATTTAGGTGAAGTTTTAGTGATTTTGTTGTGTGTTTTTGTCATTTTTATTAGTTTTTAAAAAAAAATATGTCTGTATAGTTTCTATTAAGTTTTTAGTTTTTGTTATTTTAGTTCTTTGACTTAAACTAAATGAAAATGAGAAATGTTGCCGTGGCAGTTAACTGAAATATTTTTTTTAGTTCATGCTTATTTAATTTTTTATGGTTTTAGTTTTATTTAACGATAATAACATTTACTGTTTAATATACAGACTTGTGGACCAATCAGGTTTCATTGTGGGCAGAGTTTCCCAGCATTATGCATAAAAACAGAAGCATCTCTTTGTGCTCACAGCTGGTTTGGACCAAAACTCACTTAAACTTGCAAGACGTGATGTATTGTTTGATGGCGTCTTGTTTGGTCAGGATATGGTAGTTTGAGAACTAGCATCTTTCACTGTTTCCTCTTTTCTTCCTCTCTTCCTCCTCTTTGTTTCTACACCTCCCTGCTCTCTCTTCATCCTCCTCTTCCTCTCGGCTCAGTCGTTTGTGGGGCCGGAGCTCAAAGCCTTCTTCTAACCTCCCTCCTCCCCACCCCGGCCCTGCCACCCCCCCTCTCCGGGCCTATCGGAGGGCGTATTCGCCCAGGTAACACACCTCGGCCCGGGCGTCAGAATGCTAACACATAAGAGCAGGAATTTCCTGCACAATTATTGGTTTTTCATTGGTAGTCTAATCAATTTAAAGTCAATGCATGACATTTAAAGAAATGTTTTGGGTTTAAATGGACCCGGAATGTTCCTTTTAAGGCAAAACACTACAGGCAAACCCATTCATCTTTTTCATGCACTGATCAATTTTGCTATTTTGCTTCCATAACATGTCTTATTTCAAACTAGAGGAAAGAAAACATCCAAAATACACATTTAAGTGTTCATTTTAAGTAAAATTGTATTTGCGTCTGTAGATTTCAGTTACAATACATATCTTTAAAAATTTACTCCTGCACATCAGCAGCACTTACATACACCAAAACTTACAGTTTTATTCCTGTCTATATTCTGAAGGATTTTACTGAGGGGTTTGTTCATGTATCATTCACCTGAATTAATTATTGCATTTTTATGTATTTGCGTCTGTAGATTTCAATTACAATCCATATCTATAAACGTTTTTTCTCCACTTCAGCAGCACTTACATACACCAAAATTTACAGTTTTATTCATATCTATATTCTGAAGGTTTTTACTGAGGGGTTTGTTCATATGTCATTCACCTGAGTTAATTATTGCATTTTTATATTTGCGTCTGTAGATTTCAGTTACAATACATATCTTTAGAAGTTTTTCTCCACTTCAGCAGCACTTAAATACACCAAAATTTACAGTTTTATTCCTGTCTATATTCTGAAGGTTTTTACTGAGGAGTTTGTTCATATATCATTCACATGAGATTATTATTGCACTTAATCTATTTGCGTCTGTAGATTTCAATTACAATCCATATCTATAAAAGTTTTTTCTCCACTTCAGCAGCACTTACATACACCAAAATTTACAAGTTCGTTCATATATCATTCAGACTTATTTCTAGAACATTTTCTTCCTAAAAACATGGCAAAAGTGCATATCTTTAAAGGCCGTAAGTTTGTTTCTCCACTTCAGCAACACTTACAAACACCAAACTTAACAGTTTTATTCCTGTCTATATTCTGAAGGTTTTTACTGAGGGGTTTGTTCATATGTGATTCACCTGGTATTATGCAACATATTTTTCATAAAAACGTGGTATTTTCCTATTTCTGTTTGTTGACAGTATTTTCTGATTTTTGGAGTGATAAAAAGAGAAATCCAAAATCTCCTCTGTAAAAATATAAATCTTTAATATGTCAACAAAATAAAAACTAATTTTGAACCTGGCTTTATCCAAAGTTCAGATTGATGTTCTGGAAATGTATGCAAATTAGTACACATTTAATTAGATAATTCCTTACCTGCATATTTAAACATAACATTTCAAGAAAACTTGTAAAACACAAAAACTGTCTTAATGTGCTGTGAATAATCATCTGGGGAAAGTATATTTTTACACTGTTCACCTGTAGTGTCTTGCCTTGAAAGTTTTTTTTTTAAATCCTAGAAATTTTAGCAAATGTGCAAACCTTATATTTCGGTCAAACTGCACTCTCTTTGTATTTGTCTCAGCGTGAGAATCCGTGTCTTACATTTTCATTACTTTTGTGACGTCTTTCTGTCTCTCATTCATCTGATTTCTGTTGTTCCAACCACTTTTTGCTTCGTGGCAAATGCAAAGGTTTGTCGAGTGTTAATCTGTCTATATGAAATGTTTAAGATGTGTCACTTTATCTTTGCAGTTGAGCAGTTGATGCATTCATCACATCTGTGTGTCGTCTGTCCGCCTTGTGTTGTATGTTAAAGTCAATGCATATGGAGTCACGCCTCACTCTGTGTGTGTGTGTGTGTGTGTGTGCAGTATGCTGGAGTACGACACCGAGAACATGAACTCAGAGGAGATCTTCAGCTCGTTGAGAGGTGTAACCGAAGCCATCCAGAGCTTCAGTTTCCGCAGTCAGGAAGACATACTCGAGCCCATCAAACATGACGGCAAGAGGGAAGATACGGTGAGTACCTCCACCTGCAAGACTGTCTTCAAGATGTTGCTTTAGGTTGACCCAAACTAATCAAACAAGAAGGTCTGCATTAATTTTTTAAGCTGCAAAGCTTTTTTATATTTTCATCTGAAATAGAAGATTGATTCCTCAAAATGCTAAATATTAAGCAACTTGTAGCCTGTGATCAACAATAACTCCAGCAACTTTCAAAATGTAAACAACCTGACCATTTAAAAATAGCTTAATATCTTCATATACATTTAATATAATTGCTTTTTTTTTCAAATGGCCAGGTTGTTTACATTTTAATAGATATTAGATTAATATTACGTTTTTTTTTTAATTAATACTTTTATTCATTTTATTTTATGCATTGAATTGATCAAAAGTGACAGTAAAGACATTGATAATGTTAGGAAAGATTTCTATTTCAAATAAATGCTGTTCTTTTGAACTTTCTATTTATCAAACTATCCTGAAAAATAAAATGTATCACAGTTTCCACAAAAATATTCAGCAGCACAACTGTTTTCAACATTAATAATAATCAGAAATGTTTCTCGAGCAGCAAATCAGCAAATTATAATGATTTCTGAAGACCATGTGACACTGAAGACTGGAGTAATGCTGCTGAAAATTCAGCTTTGATCACAGAAATAAATAACATTTTAACATATATATTCACAGAGAAAATAGCTGTTTTAAATATAATTTTTTTTCATATTTTTACTGTATTTTTGATCAAATAAATGCTGCCTTGCTGACTTCTTTCTTCTGCCCTCAAACTGATTAATCTTATAATATATATATATATATATACAGTACAGTATATAACCAGAATGGATATGAATGATGTCGCAAGAGTGTTTTACTTCTTCTGATTAATAGATGTTATAGTCAGTCACAAGGTTGAAGCTAAATAAGCAGGTTTCTCTTTCAGACCGGTGTGGATCCTCGTCTGTCCGCTGGTGTGATGGAAGGAGGCCGGACAGCGCTGGACAACAAGACATCATTATTAAACACACCGTCTCCTCGATCGTTCAGTGGCCCGTGGGCTCGCGAATACAACCCATACAACTACAGCGACTCCATCAGCGCCTACGAGAAAGGAGCGCTCGCCGTGTTTGACGACGTGGAGCACATCCGAGACGGTAAATGAACAAACACATCAACGGAAGAATCACTTCGTGATGTTCACAGAAACAGGCCAACGTCTTTGGGTTTCTCTTTCAGGTCGTCCACAGGACTGCGGAGAAAACAAAATCCTGCATCCGAAAGGTTTTTCTGCAGGTATGAGGAGGTTTGAAACCATTTGAAAAGAGCAAAAGTCAGCTTCTGTAAATAAACATCGTCATAGATAAGTGTTATTTTAGCATCACTGATATACTATTATAGAGTTTGTTAATATTTTGAATTCGATTTTCTTTTTATGTTTTCAGTTTTCATTTTAATTTCTAGATTAATTTTGAGTAATTTTGTTGTGTTTTCGTGTTTTAAATATCACTATTTAGGTTTTATTTATTATTTTTTGTTTGCATTTTAATTTTATTTTAATATTTCTATTAATTGTGTTTTGTTGTTTTTATAAGTTTTTTGTTTTAAATATTACTATTTAGATTTATTTATTTAATACATTTATTATTTTCAGTTCTCATTTTAGTTTAAAGTTTAGTATTTTCGTCATGTTATTTTATTAGTTTTTGTTTTAAATATTACTATTTAGGTTTAATTAATTTTTATGTATTCATTATTTTCAGTTTTCATTTTCATTTTAGTTATATTCTTTGTCATTTTGTTGTGTTTTTGTTATTTTAATTTTTTAATGCCTATATAGTATTTATTATTTGTTTAGTGTCAGTTATTTTAGTACTCCAAGTTAAACTAAACAAAAATGAAATGTTGAAAGCTGAAATAAAATAAGTCTAAATAATAAAAAAAAAATTTTTTTTTTTTTTAAATATGTATTTTTTTAAAAGGTATATATATTTTTATTTTTTTTATGATTTTAGTTTAGTGTTAGGGTGAAAAACCCTGCCATAGATAATGTATGAACATTTCAAAACAGTTCAGCTTTAGTTTCTATAAATACTTTTTAAGGACTGGTTAAAATATAAGGCAGCTGAAAAGTTGATGGCCACTGAATATTAAAAGCCTTTCCTGAGCTCTATGATTCCATTATGCTTCAGTGATTCATTCAGATGTGATTCGGTGCATAAATGTTCAGATTGTGTGTTTAATGTCGCTGACTGTGATTGGTCAGGACCCAGGCAGCACCTGGAGATGATTGGTGATCTGCTGAAGGAGCTGTCCAATCACAGCGAGCGTGTGGAGGAGAGGCGGGCCGCTCTGCTGGAGCTGCTGAAGGTCACGCGTGACGACAGTCTGGCTGTGTGGGAGGAGCATTTCAAAACCATGCTGCTGCTGCTGCTGGAGACGCTGGGAGACAGAGATGTGAGAGACACGCACTCATATTCTGTACTTGATAGTCACATGGTCCAACAATTAAAAACAGCACAGATGCAGCTAAAGAACAGTTGTGTCCGTCCACAGCACACCATCCGAGCGCTGGCTCTGCGCGTCCTGAAAGAGATCATGCGCAGTCAACCGGCGCGCTTCAAGAACTACGCAGAACTCACCATCATGAAAACCCTGGAGGCCCATAAAGACTGCCACAAAGAGGTGAGCCAGACTCTCTCTCTAATAATACAGCACTTCTCCACCAGAGGGCTTCAAGATGAGACAAAGCAAGCATTAGCATAAGCTGAAACTACTAAAAGTCAAGATATTTCTTGCTTTAATTCTCCCCCTCAGTAACTGTTTTTGTCTCTAAAGAACCAGGATTCCCATGCATGAAGTATGAGGAAGCCTATTATAGTTAATAAACTAAATATAAATAAAATTTATTTCAGCTAGTTGCAAGTCATTATTTCTTATTTTCGTTTAGTGTAACTTGACATACTAAATAAACTAAAAACTAAATTTGAAAAAGAAAAAAAAAAAGTAAAAAAAAGAAAAAGAAAAAGTAATTTAAAAATGAACAAATCTATAATAGTATATAAATGATACAAAAATCTTAAAGGAGGCATAACACACACAGTTTCACCCAATCTCATGTTAATCTTGAGTACCTATAGAGTAATCCTTCATATCTCCAAAAAGTCTTTAGTTTTATTATATTTATAAAAGAAAGAAACAGCTTTACGATTCTCTCCGGAAAAAGCCGAGCTCCTGGAGGCGGGCCGTGGGCGGAGCTAAAGAGTGACGAGCACTTGAGCTCCGACTGGCAACAAAACAGACATTTGATGCCGTTTCACTTACCGTCTGCAGTTCTGAATCATGACCGGGATCTTTTATAACTGGGACCGCCCCATCTTTCAATATCAAACGATGTGCAAATCCAGCGTCGAACTGGGCCTTGTTAATAAAACGTTCGTCAATAAAACACACTTGTGAAACTCCGTTGCTGCCCCGGGAAAAACAAACTGTATCCACTGTTTACATAACGCTGGATTCTTTAGGAAGCTGAACGATGTTATCTTTCCCTTACAACCAAAAACACACTTCTTTGGAGACATTCTTCCCGAGCGAGTCCCGTGCAGCGCTGCCGGCGGATGAAGCACGTTGATTGGTGCGATCTCGCTCTTGCTCTCGTTCTGGTCGATGCGTGCGCGGGTGCGTTCTTCCGGGAGAAATGCCCATATAAGGAGTTCCACCCTAGTTTACGTCATTAAGAGCCACGAATGAAAAAACTCTGAAACTTGTACAAACCCGGAAGTAAGATTTTTGGCACAGAAATACGAAGTCCAGTTTAGAGCTTTGTTGCTGGGCAAGAAAAATGGAAGAAATTCCTTGGCATCTCAAGCAAACTGGTTCATTTAAGGAGTTGCATGATTTCCTCAGTGATCCGGTGTGCGTTCACTCTAGGTTTTCTTTAAATACAAATATTTTGCTAATTCAGCAACTGAGTTTTCAGTCAATGATGAAATAATTCCTCCATATTTTTCATAGTACCATGGAGTTTTTGTCAAGCAGCCTGAAACGATGCCCACAGATGACAACTGATGTTATACATTATTGGACACTACTAAGGGAGAGAGGATTTGACCCTGTGACTTCATTCCAGAATCTGATGGCTCAGACTTGGGAGCATTTTATTGGTAAAACAAACTATTTTTATTATCATGAGCAAATAACATTTTAAAATTATACACACACACACACTACACTACCAGTCAAAAGTTTTTGGACAGTAAGATTTTTAATGTTTTTTTTTCTAATAATTCTCTTCTGCTTAGCAAGCCTGCATTTTTTTAAAATCCAAAATACATCAAAAGCAGTAATATTGTGAAATATTTTTACTATTTACAATAACTGCTTTCTATTTGAATATATTTTAAAATGTAATTTATTTCTGTGATCAAAGCAGTATTTTCAGCATCATTACTCCAGTCTTCAGTGTCTCATGATCTTCAGAAATCATTCTAATATGCTGATCTGCTGCTCAAGAAACATTTCTGATTATTATTATCAATATTTAAAACAGTTGAGTACATTTTCCCCCCAGGATTATTTGATGAATAGAAAGATCCAAAGATCAGCATTTATCTGAAATAAAAAGCTTTTGTAACATTATACACTATACCATTCAAAAGCTTGGAGTCAGTATATTTAAATCATTATATATTTATTATTAAATTATGAAATTATAGAAATTAATACTTTTATTAGCAAGGATGCATTAAATTGATCAAAAGTGATAATAAAGACTTTTATAATG